CCGAAATAATTGGCTATAGACTTAGTAGTATTGTTTGTTTACAATACAGAAATAGCGCTTAACAAAGACCACAAGATTATAATAATTATACTAGATATATAAGGAGCATTCAATACTCTACTTAAAAACAGACTCCTAAAACGAATAAAAGGATAAGAGTTCCTATAAAACCTAATTACTCTAATCAACTCCTTTTTAACCCAAAGGCAACTTAAGGTTAGACTTAACAAAGCAATAACTGATTATAATATAATAAAATATAATATCTCATAAAACTTATCCCTTTTGCTAGTTCTATATATACTTTATCTTATAGAACTACTCCAGTAAGATTCTAAACTCCGATTCGGGTATACAGATAATATCTGTCTATATCGATCATCGGCAAGCATTCAACAAAACATTATAATGCTAGTAAGAAATATAAAAAGTATATTCCGCTAAGAAGCTAGAAACAAAATAATCTTTGTATTCGAAAAAATGGAGATGATCTATATAATACGATACAAGTATTTTATCAATCCGATATGCGAAATAAATTGCGATTGTATCATTTCATTAATTGTATTAGGATCAGCTTTATAATAGCTAGATGTATAATTTGATCACAAGCTTATATTCAAATAGCATATCGAAATACGAGCAGCCAAAAACCGGAAATTGGCTTATCATATTTAAGGGCTAGCCCGAATCACAAACGGACCTCTAATAGCATCCTTACAGAAAGCAGTGATCACTTGCTTATACTTAGTTTTATTCTATAGGGTAAAAATATAATATACAGGATAAACAAAAATCATTGGATAGCATCAAGATGGGACACTAGTAATAATAAATGCCCGATTAGAAGAAGCGATTCTAACTATTAATAAGATCCTATAAATAACAATTAGAGGAGTCCTCCCAATCTAGCGAACAATCCCGAATATAGTGATAATAAGGGATAGCGCTTTCCCATTAATAGAAGTAATATTAAAATAAATAAAATGGAAAGCAGCTTTCTATACTCAAACTATTAATCCAAAACACTTGCTTTATTATTGAGGGATAAGAGCTATCTACTCTTTTAATAATAGGAAAGGCCAATTGCAGTCAGTTAGAATAAAGGTTCAGGTAATTAGTTAATGTTTTCTCTGAATCAAGGAGACAACTTTAGCAGAACCTTATTATATACTAGGATGTTAAACGGATCCTATTAGAGGCTTTACAAAAGAGATAGTGGCAGAGCAATTTCAGGAATAATAAAATAAGTGTATATATAATCAGATCATTATATTCTCTGATAGATTGGAACAGACCGATAAGGATGGTAGGCAAATAGAATATGGATATATTATATATAAAGGATAGATAGTAATATATAAAGGAAATAATGGATTGCATTATAACTCTCATATATTCGATACAAAAGCGATTAGGGTATATCGAGGTTTTTAAGTAGCGATTAGAAATATTATTGGTATAAAACAAATGGAAATCTGTATGTATATTGATAATATATTGGTGATATAGGGAATAAAAGGCATAGTCTTTATTATATTACAATGGGCTTTCCTCAAATACTATAAACTAATGTAAATACACTCGATCCAGATTAAATGATTGTTAGGTTATATAGAGATCAAAAGGAATAAGTATACAAATATACTCATTGATAAAAGAATAAGAAAATCAGCCTTAGGGTATATAAATCGATTTACAGCAAGTGATATCTGCTCTATAACAAAAACTGTTATAGAATCAGTAATACAGGCATAGTGAATCAAACAGATATTAATACTCTTTAAATAATACCAGAAATGGAACCCAAAGAGTACAAACAAATGCCCTAAGGAACTAGAATTCTTATAAACAATTCTTTACCGCATACTAGCGATTCGTTTAGTATATGGCGATTTCGAAAACTATTATTGATGATTTAAATACGAGGAAGCAACAATTTATTGCTTATACAAAGCATTCAAATCCTCTAAGCATATTATATATTACCACAAAGTCCTTGTGATCTATAAAACCTAGCCTCCAGATATTAAGCCCAAATATTCATTTTGTAATTAAGCAGCTCAAGAACGATTATTAAAATAATTAATATATATATTAGCTAAATTCGCTAAATTCATTACTATAACAAATTTCTATAAAAGTATATATTCTAAAACACTATCAGAAGAATAGAAAGAGAGAAGGAAAGGGATCGATTGATTTAGGTGAATATAAATAGGGAGTAGGAGGGGATAGATCTAGAAAAGCTATGTGAAAGAAAATTGAAGTATACAGTATACTATATTGTAATAGAATGTATATAAAAGCTATTTTTACAGGATAAAGTAGCTTTCAAACAAATACTATATAAAAGATCGGAAAATATATATAAAAGCATTCAGAGGATTGGAAACAAAGATGTAAGTGCACTAGCCATCGCTTGGGAGGTTACTGAGGGTATTGAGACTCTATCCCTAGGAAAGGGGGATTATATAAACTAGAAGATCATCCTGCAGTTAGCCCAACCGTAATGCCCCCTGGGAGGCTCGCCTATACGGCCCGGTTGAAAATTACTAATAATAATAATAATAATAATAGTACATCGTCATCAAGTAAAAGTTCGAAAGGTCTAGCGAATATAATGATATTGACCAAATTCTCGAGCTTGTATAGAAAAATAAGCACGAGAGAGAAATTATCGTCATCTCAAGGCGAAGTTATAAAGTCAAAAAGCGATACAGTGGCTAGCGGGATGTTGCTTAAAAGTAGTAATATTTGTATGTTGCCCAGCCGCTCGGGTTATGAATTTGTACTCCCCCGGATTCAATTCAGAAATATGATAGGCCACCATGGGTTTTGGTTATCCGAAGGGCGTTACCATGACCCTGGGAAGACTACCTTGGTGTTACCCCTCATGCAGGACTTTGTCATCTGGCTGACTGAATTGTTTTGTTTACATTTTGAATAGCTTCTCCAGCCTTATAAAATGCCGTCTGATGTTGATGTAATTATCCATTGTTGGCTCTGATAATCGTCATTCTCGAATTATCTCGGTCTTGTATACTCATACGAAAATTATATAAAACTATCAATAATCGAAACCTCAAATTGAAATTGTTGGCAGTGTCGTCAAAGCTTGCGGATTGATGGTCAGGATTTCTACCAATGTCAAGAACAGTACCCAATCACTTGGTGTTGAAGTACTTCTTCAATTGTATGAACAAAAATGCATTCCACTTGGAAATTTCCATTTCCTTCTATGTTATCTAACATTTTCTCTCAGTCACTCCGTGCTAATCGCAAATCGATTCCTCTCTCAATTCCTCGCAAACAACAGCTCCTCGCATCACCCTCGCGTACTCGACTTACAAACTCCTGCCGAATCTCGTACCACTCCTCACAAATCACAAAATGAAACAAAACGATGCAATAGCTCTCATCGTGATTCTCCTCGTATTCGCATTAATACTCGTTGCATTTTTTATATTTCGACTTTCGAGGAGGTCTGTTTATTATAGTGATTACTCTTCGAGTTCGATATCGGAATCAAATTCGACAAGTTCGCCACGGCCCCCTCTGCCGCCGCCGGGAATAGGGAGACCGGTTATTGGTGGAGCAGGAAGAGGTAGACCTGTTGTGGGAGTGGGGGGAGCGGGAAGACCTGTAGCTGGGGGTGCTGGACCTCCGCCAGGGGTTGGGCCAGGAAGACCAGTGGTGGGAGGGGGAATGGGAGGGTGGTTTGGTGGGGGAAGACCAGTTGTGGGGGCTGCTGGGGCGGGGAGACCGGTTGCTGGAGCTGGAGGAGGTGGAAGACCTGTTGTTGGAGATGATTGAGTGGTTTCTTTTGGTATGTTCTTCGATATGACACTATGTATGTGTATATATAGTTTTGCTTGGGATTTGGAATGGAATTGGAATTTTGTTACCAGAAGTGAACTTGGCGATTAGTTGATGTGTAGAGAAGCAGTCAGCTCCCAGAACGAAGAACTTATCGCTATGAAGAGCAAACAGGCTATACTCGTAGATTTATGGTAACATATGCTCGGCATTTGGGAAATACTCGTAAATAGTGAAATAACAAGGACAGTGTACTCGTAGTCTGTCAAAATGTATGATATCAAATGCTATTTTGCAGGTTAACTTCTGTAACCATCATTTTGATATGTTGATAGCTTTTTAAAGTCTTATTTATCATAAATCAGATTTCAAAGGAGCATCTAAATGAAATCAGACCCTTCGAGCTTGCCTTGAGTACATTAAGTAGGTCCCAACTAAAGACAGAATACATAGCTTGGGTGAACAATACTTCGCTTACATAATTTTTTTATTAGCTCACCAATCAAAAAGCTACCCGAATTTCAAAGATTTTTCACTCATCCCACTCTCGAGCAATATTTGATATGAGCTAAAACAGCGACCACTTTTCCATCAAACAGATCTAATCTGCTCAATGGTGAGATGGCCGAGTTGGTCTAAGGCGCCAGGTTAAGGTATTCAACTTTAACATAAGATTGTCACAATCTCCTGGTCTAGTAATAGGCGTGGGTTCGAATCCCACTCTCATCAATATTCTTTTGCTTTTTGTTTACATTTTTGCTGGATTTCTGGGAAAGTGCCTTTCAAGGTCGAAATGAATCTTTGAAGGACTTCTTTTATATCTTTTGACTCTGAGCGAGGAGGACTAGAGTGAACCTAAGGTCTCGACCCCCCTATCATATCCACTTATTTTCACGTGGAAAAACGGATAAAACGTTCCCGAAACATGCCTGAGGAAAAATGAACGGATCATGAAACATGCTTGGGTGAGACATACTAGGTACTGATGATCAAGTAATACAGCGCGTAGTTTTAGCCTATTGCGATTTGACGTTTGACATTTGACATATATATCTTCGAATAGGTATAGACATGGATCTGGGCACTGCTTTTCTTTATTTTGAGATGAATGGTGAATCATATCTCACCGATTTTGCTGAAGGGGTTTGTCATTAATAATGTTGACGATCATCGAGACGATCACAACATGACGGCGAAGTTTTAACGTCATTACAATATATATAGAACAGGACCACATATCAGCATGAAACACGCAATAAATCAGGTACACGTTGCATGGTACATCAGACGGTTAAGCTTTTTCATTTTAAGTAAAATGATATCTATAAGAAACACTTTTCCGGCTTCTTGTCAAAATTTCATTTTTCTAGTAAGACAAGCACACAACCATGTATTTTCCGATTTCCAAGTTAACTTTACTTGCTGTCGCGGCTCTTTTCACATCTTCTATTGCAGTTGATGTAGAGGTAAATATAAATCACCATTTCCATTCCAAAAATCATTAACAACCCCTCGCTAGGCCAGACAGACCCCTTCTCCGGATCCAGTTCCAACGCCCACTCCAACCCCAACACCCACCGCAAAAACTACCTTGAATGCTTCACAATCCGCATCCCAATCAATGGAAATACAAGTCGCACTCGCTTCCTATGCTTCATCTCTCTCTGTAGCCTCAGTATCAGCTGTCAAGGCTGGATCAACGGTAGCTTCGTTACCGGGCTATACACTAGCTGCTTCGGCGGTTGGTCCCGGATCTTCAAATGCAGCGAAAGCTGCTACAGGGAACTCGGGCTCTGGGAGAGGTGCAGAGGTGGATATGGTGTGGGTCAATGTTGGAGTGGGATTGGTGGTTTGTGCGGTGGGGTTGTTGTGAGGGGAATATTTTGTGGAAGGCTGGGGATGAAAAGAGATCCTCACTTTCAAATAGGGAGTGAAGCGTAGAAGGGGTGGAGACTTTCTAATCCTCCTTTGCTATCTCACTTGAGTTGGAGTCCGGGAGGAGTGTTAAGATGACTTGGAGGATGAAAAAGTCAAACTATGGCTCAATCATCGAACATTGTCAGTATGGTCAATGATCATCTGATAATCGAGTTCAAATGACGCTCAGAACTAATAAGTGTCGCATGAGATGAATAAGGCCGACGATATGGGACATGGCTGTCATCACAGTTTTGGCTATGTACGCAGAGTCAATTTGGTGGCAAAGGTATGATGGGTATGGACAAAAGTCGTGTTTTTTTGCCTAATGGCCGGATCAAAGTGAATGCGGGTACATTCATACGAATTGGATGATGAATTTATGAGGTTTTACGAATGGGTTTTTGGTGGATTACATTATTTAGTGTAAAATGGAGAGGATGTTACAGTACAGATGTCACATGTCCATCGCTAAATAGAAAGTTGAGTAAGGAAAGGAAGAGGAAGCAAAGTTGCTCTTTCCACTTCATTTAGAATAGAGATCGAATCAACTAGCTATTGCAAACCTTCTTTCTCCTTCTGTCTTCATACAAACGTAGGTACGCATTCATTCCACGTTCTCGACTTTCATCTCTCTATCTTCCATACCATAAAAATTTATTATACAATTCTCTTTTGGATTTCCCTTGACTCTTATTTCTAAATACACAATTCATTGATCCGTTTCATTCGTTTATTTCAAAAATTCAAGTCGGGAGATTTCAAGCCTCGTCTTGATAGCATTACCTATCTTTGACATTCATTATTATATCATACATGTCATACAATTCCAGATGTATAACACAATTATTCTTGCTTTAATAATCGGCTTCATTCATACATCCATATTCGCCCTTATCGCTTACTGCGTAATCACCATACAGGATAATTATCCTGTTGACACCACTCGTCGCCCTTGAGCGCCATACTGTACATTTTCAACCAGGGGAGTGCAGTCATGCCGACGCCAACTGAACTCTTTTTGGCCGAGAGGTGTTTAGAAAAGGAGCTGCAGTGTATCTATGGCAAAGTGATCCAGGACAATGAAGATTTTCGAGCAACCTATCTCTACGTCTTAACTGGACGTGGTGCTTCACCGGTAGACCACCCTGCTGCCTGGAGAGAGCCGAGATTACAATCAGTAAGCTCTCTCAGTGAGGTAATTAATAACATTCTATCTTCCAGTAGCCGTTTGCAATACTCATCATCGTTTTATCAGTCGAGCTCCTCCCGCAGATTTATAGGCTCATACATCGCTCACAACATTGATCTCATCAATCGGGTTCCATTTACTCCACCTCGTTTTGATTTGATTGATATGAGAACGAATTTACCGATAGCCGCAATTAACATGTCGAAGTTTGTGTACTTTCGCTACCATCATTTGCCCGCCAGAGAACTCAGAACAGCCTCTCCCCCTCGTATTGGAAGAAGGCCCGACCACCGAGATTTTGAAAACTACAGGAGATCTATTGAAATGTTTGTGAGCGACATTGGAGAGCGAACGATAGAACGAGCCCGAAGAATCACATCTATGATTGTGCTGGCAAACGTCATGAGCGAAGAGTTTAAACGAAGATGTAGAACGATAGCGAATCACTTCCAATTGGAGACGTTCTTCTACAACTCCGTGACCGATGACCAATTGTACTATGTCTTTACTGATTTTTGGTCGTCTATTGACTTTAGGTCCCTTCTAGTTAGCGATGAGCTCCCACAGTCTCCTACAGAGCAAGATAAATGGCGATTTCAATTGAGAAGGTTTACCAAAGTGACGTTTGCTTGTTTAGCACGTGATTACTTCAAATACTGCTTGCAGGTGACAAGGTTAAAGAAGGGCCATAATCGATGTGATTCGACGCAACCGTCAGAACGGGAGGAGAAGCTTAATGAGGAGAAGGCCACTTACGAACGATTGTGTCGGAACCTGAGGGACTATCCCAATATAACTAGGGGAAATGAATTTGTCAGAGATTTGCACATAGAGACTCTTGCGCCTCCCGACGAAGATACACAGCTCATTACAGAACTGCCAGCTATCGAGATACAAGAAGGTCATATTCCACGCGGTGGGATGATTTTTTTCGATGTAGAGAAAGAGAGAAAACGCTTCAGTACGGGTTTGCAGAAAGTAGCGGACGAGTGGCGGAAGCCGCCAGCGTTGGTGCTTTTGAAGGACGCTCGGGATTTTTATGCTACGCGGAATTTCCTCGTTGACTGCAATCCACCCATGTAATCATATTCACAAGGATAAAAATCAGCAGCTTTAGAAGCCACAGCTTTAAAAGCAGGAAAGAGTGTATATAGAATTGCCAGGAAATATAGACCATAGCGAGAGGGCATATTGTTTGTCTCTCATTAGCAAAGTAGGTACATGTAGCATTTTTGACTGATCTTTTGAAGTGAGCCTCAATTCTCCGTCAGTGCCTATGTTCTAGATGGTTGAGTAGGGCGGCAGGATTACAGTTTTGTGAGGTTGTGCGAGGTGACTATGCAAGAAGAATGCGATACCTAAGTTTCAAGAATAATATTGACCTTATTGACATATGTATGGAGGACGATTAGTCGTTGACTACCTAGCTCGAGCCTACTCGTAGGTAGGTATTAAATTATTATGAGGCATGATGAACGAAGAGGACAGCCCCATATAAACACCCAGATAACCAACCAATCATTAATGGATTAATTAGATTTGCTTACTACTTTCCCATTCCAGCTCGCCGCAGTATGATCAATGCAGAATCTAACCAATCGGAGCTCACATCTCGTCCGGGTGAGAATCTACTGTGGGTCAACGCGGCGCATGGCTCATGACAATGGAGGGCCTCCAATTTTGAAGGCAATACAAAACTACCTTGTCTGTCAGACCTCATCCCACAAAACTTTCTCTTCATTTTCGTGTTCACCTAACTTATCTCCTTTTTACTGTCGCTTGGAACCTCGATACCAAAACCACCTTTTGGCCTTGCTGCCCCAATGATTATTTCCCATCCAAGTTAATCGTATCGTAAGTTTTATAATACTCCTCAAGAATTAATGATACCTTAAATGGTTACCTTAAATGGCTTTTTGTATCCTAACTCCTCGTAGTACTGTTAATATGGAAGGCCTCAGTCCCGGAGTTTTTGGTTATAAACCAGCTCCATCCATCTGGCATAAAGACGCCGACATTAGCATAAATTTCTTGTTAAGCTACGTCGGGAATCAAATGGCTCATGCCGATGGCATCAAGATGGCAAAGTTCAATGTGGACAGCGCCGTCTACACTTCAAAGCGGATGATTCGTCTACCAGATGATGACCTTCAAAGCCTTTGCATTGACTGTATTCCCGATTGGAGCGCGCGGGGGGATACCGCTTTATAACTTTTCCACCCTTTTCGATAGCCGCGGGCACTGTCATATCAATATGTCGCTCCCAGAGCTACCACTGCCCGACTTTTCTTCTATTCGCTAAATTTTCTTTTACGGTCCTGGTTTTATACTTCGGCACTTTCTCTTCGATGCTGGGAGCCTTACTCTTCGACAGTTTGTCGCCTAAAGGTGCTACACCGTCGACTCCCTCGGAAAAAACCAATGACTTTTTATTTCATTCACCACATTTTGTTCTTGTTTTCACTGGAATTCATCTCTCGAAGCGAGTGTATCAGCATTTTATACTCCTCAGTGATATTGAACGAGTCACTTGGGAGTATCGAGTTAGTCGATGTCACAGGATTGATCAATGCTATGGCCAATTTCATCCTCGACTTTCGCAATTGACCTTGCGCTTTTGCTGCGAGTCACTGCAAAGATGTGACATCCTCATTATGGACGGGTTTGACAACAATTCGATGGTTCTTTTGGACATGACCGATGTACGTCTTAAAACTGCATATTTGACCGATAAACTCATTTCAAAATCGCTTGCTCCGTCTGCACAACTTTTCAAAGACCGACAAGCTGTCCAAAACGAACAGAATACAACCATCGACAAAAACCCCCATATTAACAATCATGGATGACGCAGAGGGCAGCTTAAGCTCGCCGTCTTGGTCTCCAAATGCTGACCAGATTCCATATGCTTACACCGACTTTGCGTGGGGGGCTGATATAGACACAAATGCTATTGGCTTGGAGTGGAGTCAAGCCTGGCTCGAGGAGACTTCATTAAACTCCGAGTCATTGCAGGAAACTCCCAATGCTAATGGAGATGACTTACAATACCAACCAGGGACTAACTTCAGTGAAGAATACTATAATAGTGGCGTTTATGCTGCGAACGAGCTACACGTGCTGCCTGTACCAAACTGGAATAATTTGAACGATCTCGATAATCTCTTGTCCATCTCACCTATAGATTTGGACGAGATCATTACAAATTCACTGTCTCCACTCGATTGTTTCATTGGCCCAATCTCTCAGACCACTAGTACCGAACTTCTCGCCAACGATATTTATTGCGATCCATTCCCAGAAACTTTCAACCACATGGAGGCCCAACAAGCTTATGGGTCTTATCCCATCAACTGGGCCGCTAATCTACCGATACTAGACAACACTGTCTGGGATCCAATGCAATCCTCGCTATATATAAGTCCGTCTACTGGAATTCACCTCCCTTCGATATCTTCCGCCACACGATCTCCTATTTCAAGCAACTCTGAAATTATGTCATCTCCCACGCAATATTCCAATACCAACACTTCCATCTCAACATCTCAATCCAATTCCAACTCAACTACACCCTCAAGTGATCGCTCCACATCCAATTCACCACCAAGTACCCAGAATGAATACACGTGCATAATTTGCTCCAAAACATTTTCTAAGCGATTCGAATTCAAGTATGCCCTTTCATTTACCATATCTCCTTCTTCAAATCTTCCGTCTTCATTCCTCTTCCCTCCAAACACTCACTAATTACTCCTTCAGTAAACACAAACCCCTCCACACCCTCCCCCACGCCTGCACCATCTGTCCACACCGCACAGCCCGACGCAGAGACATGACGCGCCACATCGCCGCCAAGCACAAGGACGTCGGTCCCTCGGGCCCTAAGCCGGTGTCAAAACCTATTTGTCCTGTGGAGGATTGCAAACAGGGGTTTGCGAGATCGGATCATTTGCTTAGACACTTGAGGAGAAAACATCCTGGATATGAGTTGAGATCTTGAGAATTCCGTTTCATTTTCGTTTTCGTTTACCGATGTTTGATTTAGCATGGCGTTAAAATTGTCTTTGGGATTGAAGTGAACAAATGAAATCATTTAAAAACTTAAAAACTTAACTGCATGACTTGATGTCACTAATCACTCGTCGCGTGCGTGTTCCATACCTCTGCTAAACCGCAATCCTCAAACACTTCAGAGAATAAACATTATTCATATTCATATAAAGTCGTAATTAACAAACATCTATCCGATATCATACTTTCAAATCCCCAACATAACGCCCAACCCCAACGCAGCCGGCATCGCAAAATTCGTAATTTGTGCCTGAAACCTCTCCGCCCCTCCTTTACTCGTACTCGTTGCCGTCGGACTCGCCGTCCTACTACTACTCACCCCAATACTCATATTAATATCCTTCATCTGCAACTCCACCGGCTCGCTCGCATGAACGGTCTCGGATCCAAATTGTATCAGCCCGAGATACATATCATTCGTAATATTTCCAATCGAGACCAATTCTTTGACAAGCTCAAAAACATCCGCATCGATCGATTCCTGATAGACAGTTGGAACCCACGAAAACACAGCTTGTTTTTGTCCTTGTTGATTGCGTCCGGTGAAGAGTTGATAAGTTACTCCAGATAGATTATACTCCGGAGCGCCGATAGGAGGATCGTAGTATCCGATTGGCCAGACGCCACCCCAGACGGATTGCCAGATCATCACTTCATGTGTTGCTTGGGATGCGTTGGTTGCGGATACGTTGTTCATGTCGAGGAACATGTCGAGGGCAATGTCGGCTTTGCAGGCGATAGCATTGAGGGCGGCGGTCATGTTTGAAGCGGTGGGGGAGGCGACGGGTAAGACGGACCAGCTGCCGCTGAGGTGGAAAGACTCGACGTTGCTCACTAGTGTGGGGAGTTGGATGGATTCGTAGCCGACGTTGGGGTAGGCGTGGACCTGAGGAATGTTAGGTTTGAAGTTCTCAGAGTGGCGACGAGGTTGGATGGGGTGGGGAACATACATATTCGATATTCTTTTCCCAAATCCAGGTCGCATTGAAACTTGCGCCATTGGTATCTGCCAGAAGAACCTATAAGAAGCCAACATCAATATCAAATCCTCGTAACATTCAATCGCAAACTTTGGATTGGAGATCGTAAACATACAGTCATATTCTGACTTCCACTCCCATCATCACCCCATTTATTCGACCCATACAGATAATCCCCGGAATCCGTCAACGCACCACCATACTGTTCATTCAAATCTTGAAACTGCGACGACTTCGCACTTGCATTCCTCGACTGTAATAACAGACACCAAAACCACAATCCCCATAAGGGAATACTCTGACGTTGAAACATGTGAAAAGAATAAAGATTACAAGTTGTGGAGTTCTACGGGGGGAACTGCATATCAAATGTATTTATTCCAAAAGACCAACCTCCTGAGATCCATATTTTCAAGTGGATCGATACGAGGTTGTTCGACCGTACACGCAATTTTGTTTGCTATCGCAAACATCATCTTCCTTGAAAATATCGATTTCCGAAATTGAAGGTGGGCCGCAAGCATCAAGGGTTGTGTTTTGGAATTCTGAGAGAAAATGCCAAGTTGAGGATCATTTCTCCATGATGTCCTGTCATGCATTTAAGCTTAGTCTACGAGCCAAGAGAATACATAAGAAGAAGATTCTTCGAAATAAGATTCTTTGAACACGCGTTGGATTGAGGGGTTTCTCTTCTTGGTTGATGAAGCCGTTAATCTCTACTTCGTGTTAATGTCAATCAATGTAAAAATAGATTTCAAACTAGTCTTGCTCTGAGCACTTCGGATGCTCGGGGCTCAACGGCCACTAATGTATCGATAAGCCCAGTTTGGTCCCACCTTTTGCTCAGGGGTAAAGTCGGTAGATATCATTCGCACGTGAGACAGGAAAGATTTGTCTTTGGCACGTGCACGGATTTGTGAGACGGTAGATTTGAAGATAACTTTTGCATCATTGCTTTGAAAGCTTTGAAAGCTTTGAGACTTTGTGGAGATACTCGTTATAAATCAAGTAATCGAATTATAGGTTTTTATTTAAATCAAAAAATATACGGTTTAATCGTGATTTTTCCGCTTTGAATAACGTCTCACGAATCCGTACACCCATTGTTGGTGCTCTAGTATTCGAATCGATAGATTGCATGAATATAACTCTAAGACTTTATACTAAAGAAGCAGATAGCCGACTGCATTTCTAAGCATGGCATGCATGTTCTCTCTTTTTCAGAAAATTCTATACAACCGGGGAGTTTGATCCATCATTGTTTCTTGAAATGTTGAGACGTGCAAACTACCTGTTCGAGGTAATTCCTCATCTCATAATACACAAGCTTGTCTAGAAGAATTTCAATCACCAATCTACAACAGAGTCGGAAACAATCAGAACATTACTCCATCGCAAGCAATCGTGAATAGTGCTTAGCTGCAACCGCTGAATCGGAAAAATTCACTCTCCAAACGTTGAGGTAGATTGGCTTGATTTGAGACGATAGGCAAGGTCTTGGGGTGTTGATAATGGGGGGAGTTGACCAGAATCTGAGATATCAGATTCTTCACCGTTAGATAAATCCTCGTCGAGAGATTCGTTGGTGGAATATTCGCTATAGTGAGATTCTGCACAAGAGTCATCGTTATCTCTCCCAGAAAATAAATCGACAATATCAGAACGGCCAATGATGGCGGCAAGATCCTCCGCAGTATTTCCGTAATCGTCTTTGTGGGAGGTATCGGCACCAGCAGAAAGCAGTGCCCATACAGCTTCTTCATTTCCTAGATGGCAGGCCAGAAGTAAGTAGGTCTGTCTGTGACTGAGAAGCGCTTCTATGTTTGCGCCCGAGATAAGTAGAGCATACATGGCTCGCAAATTCTTAGATCGAATGGCGATGGCAAGCGGTGTGAGATCCTGGTGATTACGAATTTCTAAATCGGGATGATGTGCTAACAATAATCGTAGCTTCCCAAAATCTGCTGAGTCGTGGCTGCCTGATAGTAAATGTAGATACGAATGTGTCTTTTCGTCTACGGCTAAGAATCCATCGCTTTCCGCTAAAGCTTTGTTTGTGGGCACGTTCTCTGTTTTAGCCACTGAACAAGCGTATTCGAATGATTCTACAGCAGGTAAATCACTCTCTTGAACCTTTTCCAAAAATGGAAAGGAGCCACGAATGTCTTTCGTGATGGAGGATTTACCTCTTCTAGTCAGCCCGTCCCTCGATGTGCCGATATCGCCATTTCCTTCCTCATCAGTTGTGGTGTAAGCTTCGTGCTCACCCACCACAGACGAACGATCACAACTGCCTTCTTCGTCACTGTCTTCTTCATCACTGTTTCCCTCGTAGCTGTCTTCTTCGTCGCTGCTTAGCTCATAGCTGACTTCTTCGTCGCCGCTTCCTTCGTCGCTGCCTCCTTCGTCAAGCATAAAAATGGGATAATTCTGTAGCCGCCCATCTTTAAAGAGTAGGCTGAATAGCTCCTTCATATAATCCACCGTGCAATAACGAGCCAATATATTTTGCATCATGAGGCTGCCCAAGTCCTTCCCCAATTGTCTGAAAATATATTCGACTTTTTTGGCCGAGTTTGCTGCGTCGAGCAACCTTTCAAGCAGACCGGGGTTCTTCTCACACGCGCTTGAAACATCCCCCGCTCGTCATATTTTGAGAATCGACAACATCTCATCCGAATCAGATTTGGTTCGAGATATCAGTAACTCTATTGGACTGATATTTAAATTGTTTGAGATGGTCAAATTCGCCTGAAATTTTAAAACGGCTATCAAGGTTACTCGATGCACCTGATACCAATAGCATTCCTGTCTTATGCTTTCCATGTATTCATGAAGAATCGCGTTGCCTGCTTTGTTCCGCGAGTTAAAATCCAGCACAATATTGTATTTCCTCAATCTAACGATGAAACGAAACACTTCGTCCAAATATAGAACGCAAAATACCTTTGAGACTACCCTTCCAAGGCACTCCAAATAATTTACTCTTGAATTTTGTATGAACTCCAATATCAAGGTGCTCATTTTTGTTATCCAATGCTCAGTATGCTCTTCTGAGATAGGATTTGTGTCTGTTCTGTCATTTCGTGATATTCCAAGAAAATCAATATGAAGGAAAAATTCCAGACTTGACGGCAAATAATCTGAAACTGCTAGATCATCATTAATGATTGCAAGAAATAACAGCAATGTATCCGGTGCGAAATGGACGAAATTCGTTCGTGTTCCCCATGTTAGGAATTCAACAAATAAGCAAGCATTATTATAAGTTTTGATTTCATTTGCGTAAGGCTCATGTGAGCGTCTTCCCAGAAGAGCGTGTTTAAGAAATGCAGAAAGACTTTCAACGGAAAAAGTCGGATTCTTGTCAAATATGAGTCGGAAAAGATCAGCATCCGACTCGTCATTATGAAATTTAAATGTATCTGAGTGTCGATAGAGGAGTCCTATGACATCGACATTGTCGAGACTTGCACCGGCCACGATCAAATGTTTGATAACCTTCTTTCTTGATTTCCATCGCCAACTTTCAGAAAACAGAAGTCGCGTCTCAGCTAATAGATGTGAGGTCTCAGCTATGGCGTTATTGCATAGTATCGCACACTCAAGTGGACTGCCAATAACGCTTGGCGCATTTAAATCAGCTCCACGATCGATGAGCGCGGTGCAAAGATCAGGCAAAGCAATCGTAGCAGCCCAGTGAAGGGTAGAAGGTCTTGATAACCCCATCACACAATTTAAGTGATCTGCTGGTAGAAAGCCATCTAAAGTTAACAACACAGAGCGTCTGGGATAACATAATATTGTGTAATGATAGTAGCCAAATGTCCACAATCTGTAACTGCTTCTCGTTTCATCAAAAAGAGGTAACACATAATTTGAAATTTCGCTCCATGTACTCTGGTGAACATGAACCAGCCAAAAATTAAGAACATATTTCATGAACGAGTAGTTGTCCTCGAATTCCTTCCAGGCTTTATTAAAATCTGTCAACTCCTGCCCGAAATTCGTCACTGGTAGCGGTATTCCATCGAATTCCGAAAGACTTAAGAAGTCATAACACATTCTCACAATCTCGGCATGATCCCCAGAAAGTCTGTATTGTGAAATCGCTGGACCACATTCTTCAGAAAGGCTAAGGAGGTATTCTTTCACTGTGAAGTGCGCAAGCTCTAGCTCATCCGATTGAGACTTTTGGCGTATGAGACTACTACACCAGTTGAGGAGTTCTTCCAATGTAGTCATGTTTTCCTTCTCGAAAGTCTCGTCACCAGGTCTTACTGCAAGTGCTTGGAGCAGTTGTGTTATCGTTAGCGGCTCTTCGGCGTATACCACCCAAAGGAGTGTATGCCTGACAAGGGTTTGATTCTCTTTACTGCTTCGATTGACCCTTTCAAGAATACGTTCATATGATTTGGGCAGATCTGGGGGTAATTTGCGCAAGGCCTCACGGCGATCTCGATCCGTACTGCATTCGCAAAGGTAGTCCATTTGACATGCAACCCACCGAAACCTAGATATACTCAGCTTCACATGTAGACTATTTGGAGTAAAGAAACATACATGCCATCAGAGCCTTCTGTAAGTACTTTGGCAATATGGTCTTTTAGGTTACCGTCTCTAATACGGAGCTTGCCTAGTTTCGTTCGCTTCTTTATCTCAGATTGCACATAAAGTCGCAAGTCACCACTTTCTGCCGCAATGGAAGCACTGGGACAATCTTCCAATACAATTCGGATATCCACCTCATTGCGACTCGCCAAGAGGGTTTTGATTGTTCCTGATGGCTTGTTCAAGGATTTCAAAAGTCTTGTGACCTCTGCGCGATCTTCAGCAATCTCATCTAGGCCATCTACTACGATACTGGTAGTGGAGAAATTCCTTGATAATTCGACGATAAATTCGCAAAAGTCTCCAGTAGTGGCCGAGCCTTGAGTGTTTTCCGTCATGTAGTGCTTCTCGCAGAAAGCTTCCAGTTGCGTAAAAGCATGTTCATGCTGAAGAATCAGTTGTCGCGCCAAAGCCCCCAGAATGGTCCGTGGATCGTGGGTCTGAGTATCCTTATAATCACAATAGAACATTGCAAGTCCTTTTCCAGAGTGTCAGTCCAAGAGCTTACCTCAGAGTATATGTTTTCCATACCATGAGATGAATCCTGAAGTTTTTCAATCTCTTCTATAGCAGATGCCCTATTCGCAATTCTTGATTAATACCTTTTGAACCTAACTTTGACCTCAAAATGGATATGCATATGACGTACATCAGAATCGTTTTCCCGGCTCCGGCTATGATTGTCAGAACTCATCTGGTACATTGAAGGGCTGGATTGTGACAAACGTATTCCATAGATCCATAACTTTGAATTGTCTGCAGATGCCCAATCCTTGAAGTCCTTGCTCTCGGTGAACCAGACGCCTGTTCCTGGTTGTCTCAATCTAATGTTTGAATTTTGCCATTTCATGACATCAATGGTACCTAGAAGATTGAGCTTCTTCCTTAATCTTTCGTCTTCATCATAATCAGCACAAACACAAGTATGTTCAATTACACCACAGAGAACTCACCCGCAGCCAATCTTTGCCGTTCTATTCGGGAAGCCTCTATCCTGTCGTTTATGGCAGTGACGCCTTTAATAAGTTGTTCTTGGTTGGCAAGTATCTCAATCAAGGCAGACCTGTGCAAGTCAGTCAAGCAAAAGACGACAATTTGGATGATGTGTGTCACATTTGTTGAGTGTTTAAAGCTAAATTCATGGTAATTTTGTGACTTTGAATCTCTTCCAACAACTCTGAAGTTACCGTCTTCTTAAATGGCCACTTCAACTTCTGAAATGTTGACTTTACTTCCGGTATAGCTTTCTGCAATTGGTCTGACATTTTCTCCAGGGTTTTTTGACAAGAATATAGATGCTTTATCTTGCTGGAGCCATGCACCGAAGTATCTTGCGCTTCTAGTGCCTGTGCCACATTTTCGAGACTGTGAAGCACGCCGGAAAGATTGTTGACTTCTTTAACGAGATTTTGGACAGATTGTTCAGCATCTTTGACATCTCTGATGTATTTGTAACCTAGTCGAACAACCGTATCAGCTAGCGATACCAAACCAGCAATGCTAGAGGCAACACCGAGAATCTCAGCCATTTTATGAATTTTTGGTCGGTCCTCTGGGAAACTGACAATATGAATTTTATATTTGGAAAACAAATTTGGGACAATGATACGCAGCGACACTAAAAAGGCATCGAAACCTGCGTCATGAATTGAGCATCCTGCTCAAAACGCGGAGTCATCGATGCTCTTATTAAACCACCTTGTGGCATTGACGTCCTTGATAATGTGCTTCGCCTCATGATATTGGTTTGATACATTCCTCTTTAGAATTTAATTGCATAATACAGCCTTGCTGTGCATGATATCGTGTGAGAGTTCGGAGTGACTGAGAAATGATTGGGCCTAAGAAATTGAGAAGAGAAGCGCGCGGGAGCTGTGCAAAATGGAAGACCAATGATAAATGATATGACGAGTCAGCATAGCATCCAAAAGATATGTTCTCTTATCCAGTGATGAATGATAAGACCCAGTTAAGGATGGGGATGATCGAAAATAGCCTTGCTTACTGCTTATCAGTCCATGTAAAAAAAACGTAGTATACTTTGGTCGCAATCCTGTGCTAAAGATTACCACCAAGACATACTCATAACATAGATAACAAGGGACTTATTATGAAGCACAGCTCAACGTTGAAAAAGGTATCCATTCATTATTCATAATATCAGCAATCGCATAGCTCTCCTTCCCATTTTCCAAACACCAGTAAAAGTCCAAGTCCACGTAAACAATCTCTCGTCACCAAATGGTATTCCAAAATCCTCCCCTTCCATCCCTAGCATCTTAGGAAAACATTGTCCTCCATCCTTCATCGATTTCCCATAATCTCAATCGTCTCCCAGCACCTCACATAACAGTACAAGGAATAGGAATGCAACAGCATTCATATCCATCACACTCCAAACACTTTGTCTTTCCAGTGGTACTGGTACCCTTCACGATATCGGAGATGGTAGATGAGGCTGCGGAGCCAGGACCGTTGCGGTTGACGAGGCCGGTGGAGGTTGAGGTGCACATTTTGAGTTGTTGTATTTGATTTAAATTTAGATTGAGGATGAGGATGAGTTTGTGTGGTTTGAGGTCTGCGGTGGAAATGTTTGTTAGTTTTGTCCCTGATTATTTACGATGACGATACAAGCTTGATAAGGTGAATGTCTTGAAATGTGATGGCTGTGGCGTCATATTTGTGGTACCAGCTAGCATTACAACCTCATCATACCTGTAAGAAATTCGGGGAGTCCACTATCTTAACTTACCTCAACGTTGTGATTGATAGCTGTTGATAAGATTTCTGAATGGGGTTTGAATCTTGAATGTATTTCTTGTGTCTGGAAAGGAAGGGCCGAGGAGGGAAGTGAATGATAATATATATAATTCTAGACGTGGCTTGATACAAAGAAAGTCAATTATTAGGCATGAATCTTGGAAGCTTGGAACTCGCCTAGCAATTGGCTCATCGTCATTTTGGACGATGTAATAGTGGAGGCGCAATTAGCGGACAATCATGATAACTTTTCTTGCAGAGAATGAATCTTGGTTAAGTTTCGGTTTGGTTTATCAATTTTAGATTGCTATCTGGCATTAAAAACATCCTAGTACCCCAGCATTTTTCAGTTGTCTCGTCCGACTACCTAGGTCTCAAGAGCTGCCAAGTGGCTGTAGATTCCCACCTCCGTGCTGGTCTACCTTCTTCTTCTTCTTATTGGGACGAACAGGGGAGCTTAGGTTCAACCAAGATACCAAGCCGTCTAACAATTGAGATCAACTCGTCGGTACCAGAAATAGTTATAGCCCGTGAGGCTATGGTGGCTAAGCCTTGCCTTTGTAGAATTCATATGCCGGTCTTTCACAGATGATATTTCGAGGGAATTGACAACGCCTCAGTAGACGCGTCTCATCCGATAATCTTCGTTTGGAACAGCGCAGCAACATCTAGACGCATGGCACTTGCAGATGGCTGTGTTCTATCCCGGGCTTCTGGAATCGTCTGGTCAATCATCTTTCAGCCAAATTCCAGGTCCAATTGCTCCCAAATATCTTTCCCTTCGTCCTCTATTACATTCTCATGATCTTGACTACTGGTATTCGCCTCGTCTCCTAGTTTGATCTCGACAAACCCTTCTAGCATTCCTTCGACCTTCTCCTTCATTTTCATGATGCCCGCAGTCTCCGCTCTGGATTTGTCTAATTGATCCTGCATCATTGCAATCAATGATTCTCGTGCTTGATATGGTCGATATTCGTTCAGCAAATGATGGAAATTGGCGAATATAGTATGCAAGTCCGCTATCTTTTCGTGGCTCTATGAATGTCTCAATTAGCATAGTTTTTGGCGAGAAAGAGAGATGGCTTCGCATACTTGTTCTGGATGAATACTCATTGTGCCAACCAATTCTAAAAAGTTCAATAGTAATGACTTTGCGAATCTTTTGAGAATCAATTTGCGATCCTCATGCTTTCCGGTTCCTGTTGGTGTGGTAGGTGGTGTATATATTTGCTCAATGCCCTCTTCAAGGGGAGGAAGTTCATTTTTAATCTGCCATAAAATATCAGTGCTTCTCATCCTCTATTTGACAGATCAATGTTCAGTAGCGTCCAACATACTTGTCGGATTTGTCCAAATGTTCTGTAAACTCCAGTCGCTGGTGGTTCTGGGGGTTGCAGAAATCGCAATTCGGCGGGGACATCATGAATACGAGGAGGGAGCTTGTAAGATAAGTTGTCGGCGACCTTGTAGTTTGGAAAATTCTCCGCGCGTAGCTTCTCTATCCGTTCAAGATTATCGGTAGTAAATTGCTTCCAAAATAATGGTGGACCGGGGGAAACCTGGGCTATCAAGTTTGGTTGCTGCTGCTGTTGTTCCGCCATGATTGATTTTGGTAGAGTTTATCTTTCCATGCAATTGAGGTAATTGGCTAAACCTGTGATAAGTTAAGCTCTCCCAATGTTGTGGAGTTGTCGAAAGTTGAATGCTTTTGTCTTTAAGAACAATGGTAGATGGACTTGGTAGACAATCATTGATTAGATAGAAGCTAATAACCGAAGATCCTCCGGTGCCAGACAAGGCTGAGGAAAGTGGGTCGCGTGCCTTTCAAGGGACGTCTTCTTACGAACTGCCCAGTCCATAACTCGAAACCAAACATTCTGGCACAATCATTCATTTTTTTGATATATACTCCTCAATGAGAAGAACCTGACTTTTACCGCTGCGCTGTGTCGCAAGAATGTCTCGAATCGGACGAAATAATGGAGGATTGACCTCAAAGCCCGGATGGATTGGTGCAGTAGCCCGTTTCTGGGAGGTAAAGCCATTCAAACACATTATTCTATTTGTGTTTTCACCCTCCTAACACTTCTATTCTAGAAAAGCTATGCGCCAGATTATGTTGGCTTTGTATTGCTGTTGACGGCATACATTTTGGTAATTTCCCTGGTTCATTTTCCCCTTGTTATATACCTCCGTACAACTTCTAATCAACCCCCTTTATTCAGATCGAATTTCTTCAAGAGCCATTCCACCGCATGTTTTTTATAAACAACATCAATATTCAATATCCACATGCTTTGGTGGAGAGAGTACCCGTTGGATGGAATTTGATATATGCAGGAGTTATTCCATGCATAACCTTGGCCGTTTGGCTTGGAATTTCGAGAGCGAACCTCCACAAATGCCATGTCACTATGTTAGGATTCTTTATAGGCCTGGTTCTCACATCATTCATTACTGATGTTATCAAAAATGCTGTTGGGAGACCTCGACCCGATCTTATCTCTCGCTGCAAGCCTACACCTGAAACACCAGAAAACAAGTTGGTAACCATTCATGTATGCTCGGAAAAAGATCACCATACATTACATGATGGATGGAGAAGTTTTCCCTCTGGTCATTCTTCCTTTGCATTTGCTGGACTTGGATACCTCGCATTTTTCTTTGCAGGACAAACACATGTGTTCAGACCTAGAACTGATCTCGGGAGGGTACTCTTAGCCCTCGCCCCATTGCTTGGAGCTGCCATGATTGCGATTAGTCGATGCGAAGATTACCGGTAAGTTGCGTCGTCGTTAATTTTCGATGACAAGTACTAACGCTTTTATAGTCATGATGTGTATGATGTAACATGTGGATCTATTCTTGGTATTTCTCTAGCATATTTCTCATATAGAAGGTATTTTCCAAGGCTGCATTCCTCCAAATGTCATGAGCCTTACCCGTCACGAGAAGCTGCATTCAACCAAGGGTTTGGAAAAATAAAAAACGATGAAGAAACGGAAGTGGGCAGGGCTAGAGAGTTTGATGTATCTGACAATGAGAGTGATGCATCCTAATTTTTTTTCTACAAAAAAAACTGGCAGTATGATCCCATTGCATAAGTCAAGCCTCGTTTCCATGTTCTTGAGCCTCTCAGACACTTTAATTCCATTCACTATTTACCGCATTTGGGGAAAATGACTTGCTTTACCTCTCTTTGTGTGTTTGGAAAATTTCTTCGAGACATCTCGTGGAAACCTTTGTGACCATTTTGACGGTAATTGTCCTTTGTTTCATAAATCTTAACTTCACGGCAAATCACGCGTTACTTTGCTACATCTGTTCAATTTCTATTTCACATCACTCACATATCACTCATACTATTTTTGTCTTTGATACATCATTTCTTCTGACATCGAGACTTGGGGGAAGGATCATTTCTTCTACTTTGTGTTGATTATATAAAATCCGGGCGCTAGGGATTCCAGTTTCTATTGTGCTATTATTCTCTATGTGCCTGATTCTGAGCTTGGAACAACATGGCCGACGCACTTCCTCCTGTCAGGCATGGTCGGCTGGTACATCTAGCTGGACTGTTAAAAACTGGGCGAATTGAGCTCAAGCTTGCTTCTCAGTGGGTGCAAAAGCATTTCTTGTTGCTATTAGCTTTTGGAGCATCCACAGTATATCGAACGTGGCTTACTACGCCACTGAATGGCTTATTGCGGTGGGTAGGCGGAATTTATTATTATTATCAAGCCTACTGGCTGGTGAACATTTACACGTTCAAAGACATACAAAAATGTAACTCAATCTTGGAAAACGTAAAAGGTTGGGAACCGGGGTATGATTTCTGGGAGATGCGTAACGATCAATGGTGGCTTTATATGTCCTGCCTAGGAAATGACGCTGGCTGGTCGAAGAGATTGTGGGATAATGTGGTAAGCAGCCCCGATACCGACTTACCCGTTGAAACTAACAGTCAAAGGATGCGATTTACGAATCAATCAATAGAATATCTGATATTTTCATGCCGGATTGGCGTACGGACCAACGGGTGTTAGCATACACAGTTGTTAGTTAAATGATCACTTTCCCGAAAGTCATATCAAAATTGTCTAACAGGGTGTCTACAGCCAATAAATGTAATTCTTGTGGGTTTGTATGGACTAATTGTATGTGATGATATTCATTCTTCCTTCTTCTTACTGAAACTCACAATATTGTAAAGGTTAGAGAAGGTTTGTCTGAGTGGATGTGGTATCCAACGATTCTTGCCACGAACGCACTCATAAACCACCTGCTTTACGGAGGCCTCCTTATGTACCTTGGCCACATTTTACCCAGCCTTGTTCCGTTAGTCTTTTGGCATGGGCTTCAATATGGCGTACCGGCTTTCTTGATAATTCATAGACTAGAATGGATACCTTTGCGTGCTGCATCAATGATCTTTGACCGTCAGAGAAGGTTGGCCGCTGCTGGACGTGATTTGGAAAACGTTCAGGATCAGCAAGATTTAGAAGAGTTGGCTCTTATTCTGTGGTGGCGAGGAGGTTTATTACGTCTTGCTCGTCTCGAAATTGCTAAAATGATTGTTCGATGTTCGAATGTATTAAAACTGCTTCTGGATGCGTGTCGGTCTCTTTGGGTCTTTTGCAAAACACGATTGAGTTTGAGGAAGCGAGTCGCAGATCTTGAACATCAAATAACCGTCATTGAACAGCGACTAAGTAACGCTATAGAGAGCCGAAATGGTTGGAGGAGGAGGTTTCTGCAAATGCTGAGATTGCGAAATGAATGTGTAGGACTTCATCACCATTTTGAAGTTCAAGATGAGAAAATACGTGGATTGGAGCGACAGAGGGATGAGAAACAGGTTGCATATGATGAACTGTTAGTAAAATTCAACGCATCACGTCAAGCTTCGAGTGCTTTGATATTAGCGGGGGGTCCAGCTAGAGCGACAGAAAAGTTGCTTGGAGTGGCTGTGTACACGAGAGATTTGCACCGTAAACAGATACAAAATCTTGTTTCTTCGTTCATAGAAGCTGGTGCTGAGATGGCCATACTCAAAGATAAAGTCAAAACGTTGGAAGAGGATCTCAAAATCGTCAACAATGGTAGGGCGACAATGTTGTGGCGAGAGACGGCGCAAGAAAATCTTGAATTGAGGAGACATGCACAGGAAGAGATTTTGGAACGAGATGTGACAATTAAACGTTTGAGGGACGATCGAGATGAAAGTGCTGTAACATCACTTGGTTTGGATTCTAGAGGACAACAAATCTTGCGAGAACTGCAAGAGAGGTTGATTAGTGCGGAGGTTGACCTCGCCCATTCCGAAATGATAGTTGAAAAATCGAAGTTTGATAAAGTCAAACATGAAGAAGAGATGGAACAAATCAAGAGAGATGCATTATATGGGGAGTCTGAGCGGTTGGGGGAGCTCTACACGGATGCAATCATCCAGGCTACTGAGCTGACCGAAGAGCTCAAGAGGTTTGAATTTTCTACAGATCCGGAATGTGATATCGAGGCTGTTCAACGTCACTGTAATCAAGAAAAGGAAAAATTGCAACGAGAGATTGCAATCAAGAACGTGCAGATATCTACATTCAAGGCACAAATTGACCACGCGATGGGCTCTATGAACTGGGCTGATAATAGGTTTGAGCCTCTGGACAAGTATTTTGGTTTTATACCTGGCGCAAAAGACGAGATCAGACGCTTGTCGATCGCACTTGAGAAGGCTCATTTCCAAAATATAGTACCTCAAGCACCCGAAATGGCGAATCAACTGCGTTACTTGGAAAATTTGACTGCCGAAAAGAACCATTTACTTGACGAAAGACAAAGTTTTCGAGTGATTCTAGCCGAGCTCTCGCAGGGTAAAACTCAGAATGAAGCGGAACTGGTCAGATTGAGAGATAGAGTGGCTCGGAGGAACACACAAGTGACAAATCTGAAGACACTAAATACGGAGCTGCAGCTCCAACTCAGAGAAGCACAAGCGGCAGCACCACCAGTAGGAGAAGCGCTGAATATTACTGGAATAGCGGCTCCCATTCTGGCAATTTATGCAAGAAACCTTCTAGCCTTGAGGAGAGAAATGCAAGAAAGGGGTAAAGAGATACCAGACATCCCAGATATTCCGGGAGCTCATGGCATTGCATGTGTAGAAGGAGAGCCTCTAGAAATCTCTATATTGAGGATTTCCAACCAGCTTACAGGCATATTCCACGATCTATCTAGGTTGGTAAGAGAGAGTGATCCTCCATGGCTAGGAGCGACAGATGACTGGGTGGATGATAATACAGACAGTCCGGAGAATTTGAATGCGCGTAGGCTCAGTTGGATATTGAAATTGAAAGACATTTGGGATTATATCGGAACATTAAATGACGACACCATTCTTTTCGTCCGCGAAATCTGCCAAAAATTTGGCATAGAACCTGGGTTTGAACTACCGGAGAGACCCCAGTCTCCATCGCCTCCACCTTCCCCAACTCCATCTCCGCCGCCTCTCCGTTCTAGGGATAGAGATCTATTTCCAGCACTATTCACACATTATGAGGTATTCGATATCGAGAGATGGAATGTACTTCCACACGATCAAGAAAATATTACTCCTGCTTTCAGTGTCATATCGGCGTTGCAACGATCCATCCAAGAACAATTACCAGATCATGATGCAGGCGACCTTGAGCCCATTGAATTTAAGCGTCACTTAGCAAGAACACTAGGTAGAGATGTCAACTTCCTGATCGACCCAATTCATGAACGCGACGTGGCTGAAGCTCTATATAAAATCAGTAATTCATTTGTTCTGAAGACTGTTACACAATTTCCTCGACGAGATGGTGGCTTCAAATATCTATCCCGGGAAATTCTGTATCCGAATACCTTGGAGGTGACTCTACCAAAAACGGTCGTTGTGTTGTATTTATCGGGTAATATTTGGCAGGGGATGAGCTTGAAGCCAGTTGAGTCTGAGCATGAGTCTGACAGCGGATCTGATCTTCAAGCCCCTCCACGGGATCCACGCTTATTTACGCTGATGGAATTCGATTTGACAGACTGGAAAGTAGATCATGTTGTCGACAGGTGGACAATTCCTGGACAGGCTGTTTTACGTGAAGGTCTATCTTCAATAAGTGCAGTGGCAAATTCCTTGCACTGGCAGTATCCAGGGATTTTATGGAATAATATAAGGGCAAACGAGGCCTATGAGGATCTCTTTGACAGATTCCAGAGAGCTCATCCACACCACGAGGAAGATTATTTTCAGGAGCATGTTCAAGTGGTGTTAGATGGTATACTAGGAAATGGAGCTAACAGACCACATTACAGGCTCGCAGCCATTACTCCACACGATGTAGCTGCTGGAGATTCTAGGTTTTTTGTGAGTATTTATGGGGGCGATTCAGAGAGTCCTTTGCTTTACGTAGTTTGCCAACCGCAAATTGGGTGGAGGGGTATGCGGAGGAGGCGGGATGGCGATTCTGAAGGCTTTCTTGAGGATTTAGAATGGGGCTTCTCAGTCCAGCAGCTACGAGCCGAAGAGATACGAGCCGTAGAGCTGCCAGTCGGAGAGCTACCAGCTGAGAGGCTACCAGCTGAGAGGCTACCTGCTGGGAGTCTACCAGCCAACCCTATTGTGATTGATGAGCCAGTCGAGGCACCACCAATACTACCAGCTGTCATTTTGCCCAGGATTGAGAATTATGGCAGAAATTCTATCAAAGCCCCATTTAACAGAGATGGATGGACTTTTAATGTCGATCTAGAACATTTCAACGAAGGCTTGAGACGTGGTGGTAATCGAACACCCTGGATACATAATTGCGCCCCACGAGCATTGTATTATTCAATCCGCCATCAACGTCCCAACTATTTGCGAGGTAATCTCACTCCAGAATCAGTATTGCAAGCGTTCGATGATGTTTTTCCCCGACACGAAAATTCTTGGAAAGACGAAGAAGTCGCTAGAATACTCAGAGGATATCCGACACTGGGGGGATATGAACTTGCCATTGTCAATTGTGTGACTCGTGCCGACGGTACTATCATTGTTTTAGCTTGGTCCCAACCAAGTGGATACAATCCTGCAAGTGACAACTTATTGTTTGTTGCGTCAGTCAGTGATCGACGAATAGGATACTGTCAGGAAGATGATAGACACCATTGGGTGGGTATGAGATATCGGGATGGCGAAGCAATTCCAAATCCTCGGTTGTTCAGACCCCAACCAGCCATCCCTCCTCCCAAGCCCCCAAAATCAAAATTCATGCCTCTGCTGAATGCAGCGACAAGCAGTCAAGGGTCAAAGAAAACCCCTGTGTTCAAGAGTAGTGCATCTACTTGGTCTAATTTCGATAGTTCGAAAAGCTTTGTGTCCCAGTCTGGTCAAAAATGGGTTCCACCGGCCACTCCACCCACGAATCTTCCTATAACCATGATACCCTCTGTTCAAACTGGGCAACACTTTGGTACTGCCGTGCAACAACAGAATCAGCCAGCACCACCAAGTTTACAACCCGCTCCATCATCCTTCAAAATGCAATATTGGTCACCATTTGGTACGGCTGCACAGCAACAGCAACAACTACCAGGTTTGAACCCTCATACATTGCCTGTTCCTTTTGGCGAACTGTTCGTTCATCCCACCCCGTTACAGCAACAGCCGCCACAGCAAGGTCAAAATGCACAGGAACAAGTAGGTTTTGGTATGAATATCGCTAGTAGGAATGAACAAATGGAACTCGCACGTAAAATTCAAGCGGAACAGGGCCGTGGAGGTAAACATTCAAAGAAGGATAAGGAGCCCAAGAAAGTACTTGGAATGGACAAGGAAACGGGAATAGGTAGGGGGAAGAAAGGAGGTAGAGGAAGAGATAGAAGTAGAGGGGAGGATGGAGGGAGCGGACAGAAAGAAGATGATAGCGGTGCTGGAGGAGGAGGAGGAGGCGGCGGAAGTAGTGGTGTTGCTGGTAATGATTGGGAGGATGAAATCTGAGATTGAATAAGTAATCATCAGCCATGACAAAGTACGCAGCAAAGAGGTCTTGACTCCTAGATATTTCTGATGATTTATATAATGATTTCGATTCCTCTACTGCAGGAGGGAGATTGAAAAGTTTGATGGGCCCAGGGGATGTATATTTGGTTTATCTCTTCGGACAGGAACATGGGGGAACAGATTGGATATCTAGTTCAAAATTGATATTTTCTTATTAAATGATAGCTTTTGTTTCAATATAAGTATTCGTAATTAATGCTGGCAAGCCGCGAAATATATTCTACGGAAGTGAATGTGATGTTATCTGAATGAAGTCACTTTCACTGCTTGCTTGAACTTTTTGTCTTTTCCTTCGATTAGTATGTTGAAGAACGGTTGGAAAAGCCTTGTGAAACTTTCAGCATGATTGGTTGATATCGTTTGATTGGATGAAATGTAACAATTTCCCATATAAAAGATTATACCAAACAGCGAAAACTGATTGACTTTTCCCACATATTATTCGCTTTCCAATCCACTCTAATTGTCTCAAACATTATAAATACCTCCAGGACCAAATCCCACCAGTCTTTCAGAAGCATCGCTAGGCCTAGATTTTTCGTCCGTCCCAGCAAGCTCGGACCCCTTCGCCTTATTTTGCACCTCTAGAAACTCAAAGCTCTCTGCAACTGTCTTTGATATCTCTGGGAGCAAATCCTATATAGCTCTAGAGTATTGTGAATCGATATTCCAAAGCTGGGCAAGATACCCTACTTTGATAACATAACCTTTGAGTCGACAAAACGCAACAGGCTTGCTGTATTCTGATGCAAATAATCTCTCTGCGTCTCGTTCATTCGCTTAAGTTTCTAATCCTCTCGAAGCTGAAACCGATGCTATAAACCTCAACAGTATATAAATGCTTCAAACCCGACAATTAGATAAAATTTGAGATGTTGAGCTGTTTTATTGTTTTATGTGAGAGAGAACGTACAGATAAATTGATGTTCACTGAAAGGAGCTAACATCCATGTATCAGAACTAGATTTTCTAAAGTCAAGAATGTATCATATCAGATGTAAAAAAAAGAGTGATCAAAGAGTGTGATTGTACAGACATCAAACAACAGATTGGTTTAAGGGCGGAATTCCATTCAAATAACGCTGAGAGATAAAATAATCTAATATTCTCGGCAATTGTTGGGATATGTTTTCTGGAAACACGCAACAGGAACCACTCGAAGGTTCTCTTAAACCAGAATATGTGATTGGGCTATCCCATAAAAATCCTGCCTAAAACAAGTTCTTTCAAAATAGTAAAGGTACTGATTTGAGCCAGCCTGTTGCCCAAGGTTCGAATCCTTGCCAGATACAAGGTATCCATCGAAACCTGAACCTCGTCCCCCGAAGCGAATGTATCTAATCTTTCCTTGACTTGGCCGTTTTCCCCCTTCGAATAATATACTTCGTTATTGTTCTTCTGTCAAATCTATGTTCACTACCTCTTCTTTTATCGTTCTTTTTGACGCTTGAATTCACTGCATCTCCATCATTTGTGTCGGATTTCGGAATCGGCAAGCTTGCCATTACGACAAGATGCATAATAGTTCTTTCGAGTGAGAGCTTCATATCGATAGCGAAGTACCTCGAAGAACGCCAGATGCCAGTATTGGGAAGCTTCTCAAGAAGTACCGATCTTAGTTCCAAATCGCAAATGGCACCTTTGCTCGTAGAAATCATCATTTGATGGCTCAGTAGGATATCGATGAATTGCCGTATTGTTTGAGTTTTTGGGTCGAAAGTCTCTTCAAAGAAGGTTTCGCGCACATTGGCAACATATGAGGGGTGTTGTGCAGGGTCCATTGCAACTAATTTATTCCAACTTCCCGTTATATCACCAGCTTGAATAAGCTCGACGATTGCAGCACGTTGAATATCGTTTATAGCGGAGTTGAGAATCGAGATCGCATAGCCTTTTCTTTTTATGTAGCTTTGGTATATTTTCCACTGTATATCGGAGTCTGTTTCTGCTGGTACCGCTACTATTGTTTCAGTGTCGTCGAGGAACCCCAGTGCGTTTGCTGCCGCCATAGCCATTACGACCGAGTTTTCGAAGAAGGGGTAGTTGGTGCCATTGAAAATTGCAACTGGACCCCACATCGTCGAAACCGTAGTTTCTTTCTCTGGTTGTTCCGAAGCCATCGAAATAGTTGTCTCAAAGTATTGTGATATCGATGATCAGGTCCTTATTGCTGGGCCATTGGAGTTTGCGGCAATGTGCTGATATCGTGAAAGAAGTTGAAGTGTAGAGTTCGAGGATACTGTCACTTCTTAATAAAAGTGTAGAAATTGTGCGTGAAGTGCATTTGTCATCATAAATTCACTATTTCTGAGAGAATAACCTTGGTGAATCACTTGATTTCAATATATTATGCTCATTACTCATTGATTGGAAAGGTTGAATGTACTGGCACTCCCATCACAAATGTAAAGAATTTGCAGCACGGAAAACACACTCGGACAAAATTCCCCACGGGAAGCGTCAACTCAAATATATGAATGAGAATCTTGATACCTATTAGCCATAGAATCAATTCAACTGAAAAAGGCAATTCATTCTGTTATTACTATACAATGTATCTGCGTATGTGAGATGCTTCTTGACCTCGTCCAGAATACCAATTCGTTCATACAAATAATATACATGAGCGTATATTGAAGCTTCTCACATGAAATCATAACTATATCTATCATGCGACCTAGCGATCGGATGGTGTTGGTGGTACAGGATGCATGAGCTTATCTTTGAGATGAGATAGAGCTTCTCTGACGCCGAGATGGTGTCCGTGATTGGAACTACTATTTCCGTCTTTTACATTTCTTTTTCCATGATAACTTGCTTCAGACTCAGAGTTACGTCGATGGCGGGGATTGGAATTAACTGAATCAGTTGAAGGGTGATAAGAGTTCTGTGAGTTGGACTCTTTGCGATAATATGTATCACTTGGGTGCGAAGATATAGATCGACGTCTACCAGTTGTAGAACTTGAAATTGGTACTGGAACTGGTTCAGCAGTCTGTGGTGGAAGAGGTTGACCGTTTGCCATAGTCGGAACGACTTGAGGATATTGAGGTACAGCCACTACCTGGGGAGGATTTACAGGTGGCATTACGTAACCTCCAGGTGGAAGAGCACCGACTGTTGGATAGATTGGTGGTGCTGCTGATGATAATTGAGGCAATGATGATCGTCGCGAATGACCTTGCTGAGCATGTATAGGTGGCTCCATGTACTCACCTACTCTAGCCTCATACATAGCTGGATTTGTTGTCTTGTTGGACAGCGGGTAATCTTCGAAAGACACATTTCTTTCACGGGGGCGTCTATGATCATAATAGTGCTGTCCTCTATGCCACGAACTTTTTCGAGATACTAAACGGGGACGTATAGGATTTCGGTGATGACGTTGCTGCCGATGATGATGATGATGATGATGCGGATGTTCTGAAAGTACACCTATAATCTTAAGGCTAGGTTTCGATTCAAAATCTACTATCTGAATATTTTCACCAGGTTGTACCCTCAGTATCGTCAAGTTGCTTGGTAACCCTCTATCTTGCACGGGCAGTTTCCTTTCGGCTTCTTGGATGGTTCTGAAAACTCCAGATGCATGAGCAGCTTTCAGTAAGTTAGTGACATATTACATAATTGTGTAGTGAGCCATTTCACTTACGAATGATTGGCTGGAACAGTAAATTTTTCTTATGACCTCCATGTAACATTTGCAAGAGACGTAATGATGCTTTTGAGGCAGTCCAATTGCCATGCTTATTGCTTACATACATTTGCTGTAGACGATTCAGCACTCTGTTATTGTTATTTGTTGGCATAATCTCCCAAAGAAAGAAACTTTGGGAACGGTGGCGAAGATTGACATCTCTAAACCTCACTGTTCTGTTGGTGGATAGTTTTGGGTTTATTGTACCCCAGCGTCCAACCCAGGGATCTTTTGAGCCGGATATATAAGCACTAACTTTCTACCACCACCAAACTGTTAGCAATTTACAACGTGGAATAAGATGAATAAGCAATTAATTACAGTATTGTTATTTCTTAAGGGACGTACAGGTGCGTCTCTCGTTTCTCTCGTTGTTCTCGTTTGGAAAATAATATATAATGTATTTGGTTTCAAAACCCGTAGTGAAGTCATGGTGTTGGTTGAATGAATTGATTGTCCAATTCTGATTCTCTCAAAGATTATTGATGAGGTATGATTGCACTATGTTGAGAATAAAATCTATTGGAGATGGGCATCTACTCCATTATAATTGATTGACCGAAGATATGACGCAACGCTTGAGGACAGGAATGGTAGGGTGTGGTCTAGTGTGTGCATTCAAACTGGATTTACTGACAGCCTGAGTGACGTAGAAAGGACAGATGGTCTAAGAAAGGGCCTCACAGCCTCTGAACGAGCAAATTAACAAGTGCCTATCATCAATTCCAACAAGCAGGCTGAAGGTAGTTTAGCAGCCATCGCTGCGACCAGAATCTAGACTGTAGATAAGCGAGCGACTGTATGAGGTCGGCCGGAACCACACCTTTGGTTTGAGATTGCCATTCCAGGGAGAAAACTGAGTTGCTGTGCTTGTTGGATTGAAATATGGAATCTGAAGGCTTGTATAAACCTCAAACCTGGAAAATTTGTGTACTGTTATACTAGAGTTTATTGTAGTCATAATTCAACTTTATGTAGTTCGCGAAAACACATGTATCAATCAAAATACTTGCTTGTTTGTTAGCGACACCAATTTACATGAACTGATTACATAGTGGATGATTGAGGTGATGGATTTTTCTTCAATGTTCTACTCTAACTCATGATGAGGGATGGGGACAAAAGAAGATGCTGCATTAAGCATTCGATTTTGGCAATTGAGGCAGGAGCTACCTGTCCTCATTCTCAGCTGACCCTTCCACGATACCGTCTCAAAACGTGATTTGAAGAAGGCAAGTTG